GGTCGCTGGTGGGAATGGACCGAGGATGTCTATTCCTCATTGAGCGAAGGGCCACGGGCTGGTCAGGTACTTGAGGTCAGCAACGGGCTGGTGAAGTATTGTGGCATGCCTCTAGCAGTTATCACATTTCTAGATGAGCTCGAGTGTGTCCGCCTTCATCGTAGGCCACTAGAATTCTTGCCTTAGCGCCTTTTGGGCGAGCGCCCTACCCCCTAGGTGTCTTCCACAAAGACATTCATGGATCTCCTATAGCATATGGCTTGCCTCTTATGTTCGCAAGCAATGCAGGTAGGGGAGAGTAAAGTATCTTCTATATAGCCACTCACCAATAAGGAAACAATGAGCAGATTGATGCTTTACCCTCCGAGCTGTGTTTCGATCTCCTAGTAGGGACCTGTGGAGCAGATAATCGACAAGCAAATCAATCCACCCGGGTTCTGCTATGAACACGGGAGCGACCTCTTCTACCACCCTCACAATGCTAGGTCGCAATAGGTCTTCAACGTACACTGTCCTCTTTGTGACGTCGCTTGTGCTAGCCAACTTCGAAAGCGCATTGGCCTTTGTGTTTTCTATCCTTGGTACTTGTCGGATGAACCAAGAGTGGAAGTCAGGTAGGAGCTCCCTCACATTGGCCAGATAAACCACCATGGCGGGTTCCCGAGCCACGTACTCACCATTCACCTGGTTCATGACAAGCTAAGAGTAACTGCACAACACGACATGCTTTGCGCCAACCTCCTTCGTCAATGTTCGCCCGACTATCAGTGTCGCATACTCCGCTTCATTGTTTGATGCCTTGAATGAGAATAAGAGAGTGCACTCCAGCTTCACCTCGCTAGGTCCGTAGAGTATGAGTCCGGATATGCTTCCTCGCTAATTGGATAAGCCATTGATGTGGAGGATCCAATGCTCCTCATCCTAGGTCATGGTTTCCCTGGTTGGGATGGGTGCTGCACTAGTTAACGCTTCCGCCACATTAACTGGCTCAATCACCTCAGGGGTTGGCGTGCTAAACGTACACCCAACGATGAAGTCAACCAAGATCTATGCCTTAATCGTTGGGCGCAACTCGAACCGGATATCGTATTTGCCCAACTCGATTGCCCACTTTATCAACCGACCTGAGACCTCGGGCTTTTGAAGGACATGCCTCAGAGGTCAATCAGTTAAGACAACTATGTGGGCTTGGAAGTAGGGACGTAGCTTTCGAGCTGCTAAAACTAAGGCGAAGGCCAACTTCTCGATGTCGGGGTACCTGGTTTCAGCTAACTACAAATCCTTGCTCATATAATAGACGGTTCTCTGGACCCGGTCTACTTTCCTTGTTAGTACTGAGCTGACTACCTCGTCACTCACTGAGAAGTAGAGTTTTAGCTCATCTCCGAGTTCAGGTCGGGTTAACATAGGCAGTGAGCTTAGGTATTTTCTGAGCTCCTCAAACGTGAGTTAGAACTCCTTAGACCACTTAAAGTCCTCATTCTTTTTAATGTTCTTAAATAAGGGTAAGCACCGCCCAACCGACTTTGACAAAAATCTTTTCAGGGTGGCAATCCGTCCAGTTAACATTTGTACTTCTTTTATTGACCTAGGTGGTCTCATATCTAAAATAGCCTGGATTTTGTCCGAATTGGCTTCGATGCCACATCGATGCATGATATAGCCAAGGAATTTGCCCAACGTGACCCCGAAGACACACTTATTTGGGTTTATCTTGTTATATTTTCTTAGAATTTGAAAAAATAGTTTAAATCATCAATAATAGAGTTTGCAAACTGGGTCTTCATGACCATGTCATCAACATAATATTCTATTTTATTGCCAATAAGAGGCTCAAAAATTTTGTTTACAAGGCGCTGGAAGGTTGCTCCAGCGTTTTTCAATCCAAAGGGCATAACTTTATAACAGTATAGCCCAAGTTCAATTATAAAAAAAAAAGTCTTTTCCTGGTCAGCTAAGTCCATCTAGATTTGGTTGTAACTGGAGTAAGCGTCCATGAAGCTCAGCAAATCATGCCCTAAGATCGCATCTACCAGGTTGTCTGTTCTGGGAACTGGGAAACTATCCTTTGGACAGGCTCTATTGAGGTTGGTGTAGTCGACGCACATGCGCCAATTGCCATTGGCCTTTTTCATGAGCATAGGATTGGCTACCCAGCTTGGGTACTGGACATCTCTAACAAAGTTTGCTGCAAGGAGCTTCCCGATTTCCTCATCTACTATCCTTCACCTCTATGGGGTGAGGTTTTTCTTTCTCTGCCTGACTGGCTTGACTAAAGGGTCCACATTGAACTTGTGAGTTAACATAGTTGGGTCTATGTCGGGCATTTCTGTCGCCGACCATGCAAAAACATATAAATTATTAAGTAAAAAACTTACCAAGGTAAACTGAAGTGGTTCTTTTAGGCGAACTCCGATCTAGATAGTCTTCGCAAGCTTGGTGTCGGACACTAGGACCAAGGTTGTATCCTCCATCGGTGTAGCCGCTCATCGGTGTGTTCGGGGGCGGCTCTAGCTTGGCGTTGTCTGCCAGCTTTGCTTTTCTCTTCAATGCCGTGACATAGCACTTCTGGGATTCCAGTTGGTCACCCCATACGACTCCCACTCCATACCTCGTCTTGAACTTCATCAAGAGGTACTAAGTTGACACCACCGCACGAAATGCAAGCAAGATTGGCCAACCTAGAATAGCGTTATAGGGGGACGGGCTAGCAACCACCAGGAAGGTGTGCTCAAACTAGACAGTGTTGGGCTTTGTTCCTGCTGTAACTGACACCTTAATCCTGTCGAGTAGCTTTAAGATATCCCCTTTGACGCTAATGAGAGGCACGTCTACCGGTTGTAGATCTTTCCAGTCCAATTCCATCTTCTCGAAGGCCTCCAAGAAAAGTATGTCCGCCGAACTCCCTAAGTCCACTTGAATCCGCTTTACCTCGAAGTCGTTTATGATCAACTTGACAATGAGGGCGTCGTCGTGCAGATACTAGATCCCGTGAGCATAATCCTCAGTGAAGTAAATGACTTCCTCCACCCAAGGGCGCTTCGGCGGTTTCACGTTTGTGTGCTCGATCTTCCGGACAACATTATTCCATGTCGCTATGTTGCACCCCGCCACTATCGAACCTCTGGTGATCATATTGATCACCCCGCATATCGGTCTCTCTATTGGTGGATTTTGAGCTGGCTGGTCGCAATCCTGCCACCTTTTTTATTCTAGAGCTCCTCTGTGCTGCTCAGCAGGTCGGGCGTCTCTATCGTCGCGCTTGATGAATTGCCTGAGGTAGCCGCGATGGATCAGCTCCTTGATCTCATCGTTCAAGTTTCGGAAACACTCTATGTCATAACTGATGTCACGGTGGAAGTGATAGTATCGGTTTAGGTTGCGGTGGGATTTTGGATCGTTGACCTGATATGGAACCCCGATGAGGTGAACTACTCTTTCTAGGTGGTCTGCTTCGCCTACCGCGAGGGGACTGCTTTCTCTTTGATGACTTGCTTCTTCGTCGTTGCTGCTTGCTACTGCCTACCTCCTCTTCTAAACTCTTCCTCTTCCCGGATTGTTGCAGCTCTAACTGAGATCCGAGAGCCTTCTCCGCCTTCGTGAACTTGTCGGCTTCAATGAAGAACGCCTTCATGGAAGTCAAAGGGTTCAACTCAAGTTGCCAATGCAAATCAGGGTGGTGGACTCCCTTCACCACCACGGTGAGTTGCACAGTCAGGTCAAGGTTTGGAACTTGAAGCCTCTCAAGATTGAATCTCTTAATGTAGTCCCTAAAAGGCTTGTCTGCCCGCTGGACAACATTCAAAAGGCCGGTCGCGAACTTCAGTCACCTCTTTCTTGTGTTGAAGTGCAAAGTAAATAGCTCTACGAACTGCTTCCGATTCTTGATCGAACCGTGGGTAGTCCCCGATACCATAGTCGTGACGTTCCTCAAAATGTCGTTGAGTATGCCATACAGAGGCATGCATTATCGGCCCCATGAAGCTACATGAGGGATTGGAAACTATTGTTGTGATCAATCGGGTCGGTCATCCCGTCGTAAGTCTCTAGGCTTATCAAGTTTGTCCAGTCCGAGTGGGATAAGGATAGATCTTGCAGACGTGCGATGTGATCCCAGAAAGGTCGAAGACAATTGGTCAGCTTCTAGAAGTGGGCTATGTTGCACCTCAGCAGGTCAGGACTCCACAAACTACTCGGACCTCGGTCCTTGCCGAGGTGCCCGAGATACCCAAGTTGACCTAGCCTACTGAGGTGGCTGAAAGTGCTTCATTGTCAGGATGTCATCAAGTCGATCCACATGACCGCTTGCTAACAGGTTGAGCCAAATTACCCCTCATCAAATATATTATCATGTTAACCTTCATAGAAAAAATATAAAATATATACATACATTTTAATAATTAGACATAAAAATAAGAAAAAGTTCAAAAAAAAATATTTTCAAATATAAAATACATTAAAACACCAAAATTTCAAAAAATATAAAAAATTATAGAAATTGCAAACAAAATAAAAAATATTTTCAAATTATAGAAACTATAGAAATTAAAAACAAAATCAGAAAATAAAAATTGTAGAAAAAACACCAAAAATATAGAAAAACACATAAATTGCAAATAAATAACAAAAATACAGGAAAAATTATAGATTGTAGAAAATAGAAAATGTAAAAAAAAAACAGAAATTATAAAAATAACATTGGAAATTATAACAAAACAATAAAAATGCAAAAAAAAAACTTAAAATTTGAAAAATGAAAAAGTCCCTTTTCCTCTAACTCGCCATGCAAGGGTAATTTGGTCATGAAAATTGTTGTTTATGATGATGTGGATACCTCTGTTAAGAAGCATTAAGGGTGCACTAACATAAATTAAGTTTTGGAAAATAAAAAGTTACTGACATAGTGAATTTTAGACATTTTAAAAAGTTGTGATGAATTAAAGAGAAATGCTGAAAACTCATGGCGAGTTTTTAGACAATTTCCCTAAATAGAACAATATGTGTGGTGCATACTGTATAATTCATTAATAAGGGACAGAATACATTATAATTCGTTACAATTGTATCCATAGCTTCATCCAGATAAAAAAAAATGAATTTGAAGCACTAGGGATACTGTTTTTCTTAAGCGACTAGGCAGTTTTATTTGCCTTGCGGACCTCAGTTATGTTCTTATTTATCTCATACAAATCAACTTAGGTAGAAGAATATATAGAGATCTAGCACAGGCAATGAAATAAATTAAGCTTAATCCTACATCGAATGAGAATGAACAGTTATTTGTCATTCATGGCGTGAAGAAGAGACTATTCATGCTCCTCCTCAAGTCCTGGCACTAACAAGAGGCGAGTGAGGTGAAATCAAGTGTGGTGACATGACAAACTCTTCGAATCTTCGACTTCGAGTCCGAGTGAAGCTCAACCGAAGATTGTTTCGCAAAGGTTTGGCCTTCACAGCCACAGGCACCTCTGCTGCCTCCTTTGGTTTACGCACAAAGCTCTGAATTCTCTGCAACGCCACTTCCATGGTCTCGCTGTCCATATTTGCAAAGCAAACTCTGAACCAACCAGGCTCCGTGCAATGAAAGGAGGAACCAGGCGACACGTTCAGCTTAACTTCGTCGATTATCACACGCCACAGGGCCATCTCTGCTTCCACCGTCGACTCTTTCAGCAGCGGCCGAAGGTCCATCCAGCAGAAAAGACCGGCGTTGCTCTTCAAACAAGTAATCCCTACCTCTAGAAGCTTCGCTGTGAAGACCTTATGTCTTGTTGCTAGCCTCTTTCCGCTCTCCTCGATCAAACGCTCCACGAACTCGTTATCCGACAACATAGACGCAAGCAGGTACTGTGTCTGTGAAGACACCAGTCCGAAACTGGACATCTTGCGACCACAGTTCACCACGGCGTCGTTGTATGAGTACACTATGCCGACCCTGAACCCAGGCAGACCCATGTCCTTCGAGAGACTGTAAACAAGGTGGATGAGATCGCGATTGCAGCTGATATCTTCCTCGTTTATTATCTCAGAGATGCTTATGAAGTTGGGATGGTTGAAGACGGTGGCTGCGTATATCTCATCGCAGACTAAGTGGATGTTCTTCTGGTTGATGAATCTCACCAGGGATTTTAATGTGTCTCGATCTAGGACGGTCCCTAGCGGGTTCGATGGGTTGGTAATTAGTAAGCCCTTTACTCTGACGTTGGCCTCTTGGGCTTTCCTGTATGCATCTTCCAGTGCAGCCATGGTGATCTTGAAGTTGTTTGAGCTCTCGCAGATAACTGGAAAAAGTTGTACTCCTGTTCGCCATCTCAAATCTCGATCAAAACTACGATGAAAATATCTTTTAGTAAAACTGCTTGACGAGTGACGACATATACAGCAAAGAGGAGCAGATGAGTTTTTTTTTTTTTTTAAATCATTTGAGCACGTGGTTCCATTTGGGCAAGTACAGTGACCCGGTGCGAGTTCACATATGTGCCCCACAACGTCCCACCTCACATCCTGCCATGCATTGCATTAGTAACATCTCCCGATGATAATATTGTAGGACACTGTGGGGCGCCCCATGGAGCGCAGATCTGAATATGAATTGGGCTATTTGGATTTTGGACTTTGGAATATTTGAGTCTTCGGAATTTTGACGTGAAAAGCATACAAGTATGAATCATCAAGGCGGGACGGGACTGATTCAGGGATCCCATCCCCCGGTCCCCCGGGGACAGAGATGGGGTTAGGATAAACCCAGAAGATTTGGGAATGCATTCTACTATACTGGCTGTATTTTGGAGTATGGTCAATAGTCATTTAGCTCATAAGTGGACAATATTCACAGAGAGAGAGAGTTGTATTGATCAAACCATTTAGCTCATAAGTGTACGATAAAAAAAAAAAAAAACTCATAAATGTACAATATTCACAGAGAGAGAGATGCATACGCTGGATAATAAGGTGATGGGACCAGAAAAGCATCGCCAGGGTCGGCCAAACAAAATGCCAGCAGCTCTTGAGCTCCGGTCGCCCCGCCACTCATGACTATGCGATCTGGGTCGAATGTGACCCTACCTCCTCTTACTTTCCCCATAAAATTTGCGACAGCCTGGAGATTGATATCCGTCTTATTACTATCTATTATATATTGCATTAATGCATGCAAACAGCAGTATTAAATTAGGCCAAGTTTGGTTCACAGAAATAGGGGTTCTGAATGGAATTAAAATGGATTATTCTGATTACAACTGTTTGATTGGGTGGAATAGGAATTTCATTCTCATTTCTGTTAAAATGACATTTTTCCATTCTCCGCCTTTCCCTTAAGAATGAAATCTCATTACTTTTGAGTCTAATTCCCATTCCCTTTGAACCAAACATATTATAAGAATAGATCATTCTGATTTCAATTCCAATTCCGATTCCAACTGAGAACCAAATAGACCCTTAATAGCTTTTGATATCCTGTACTAGGTTTATACCTTTCTGAATGTTAGCAAGCCATGATAATCCTGAAAGGTAGCAATATCCTTGAATCCCTTAATTCCTTCCGCGGTGCAGATCGAAGCTTCCGGGTGCCTTTTAGTCCAGTCTTCAATCAAGTCAAAACAAAGCTGTAAATGTAGTTAACCAAAAAACAACAACCACAAGAGATATCTGTGTAAGTTTTAATTTCCCAGCTGTTTAATTAACTCCATTATTTCTTCACAAATAAAGAAACCTTAACCGGGGAAAAACGAAAAGAGCAAAAGAATAATGGACCTGATTTTCTGCTAGACCCATCTGAATAACTCCATTAGGATTCTGGGTAGGGTGATAAGGATCCTTGTCGTAAGCCTTCCACCCATCAAAATAAAGAGAGTCTTCGCTGTGCCCGTCGCTGTTTGCAATCTTAGACAAGAGATGGTGCTGCTGCTGTTTCCACCCCATTATCGACGACATGCAGAGTGTATCGATTGTATAATCACACTGTTAATTTGCTAGTAATGAATGCACTGAGAGATGGATTGAAGCCCAAAAGGAGTGAATTTATAGATGGTTGAAGAGAAAAGAAAGTTAGGAACATTTCGAATTCTTCAGCTTTTTCATAGATCATCGCTTGCGTTCAACCAATACCAACTCCTACGTCCACGCACCCAAAACACGTGGAGAAACGAAGCTGTTAAATGAAATTTTGACTTTTTGTTAATGTGGTTTCCTCTTTTTCTTGCTGACTTCTCAAGTTTTGCTTTTTGGTTGGTCACAGAGAAATTAGAACTGCCCACAGGATTTCCTGTCCACAATTTTCTACCCACACTCAATCCGTCTTCAATTGCAATTGCAGCTATACATTGTCATCTTGTGTAATGCGGCTGCAGTGTAATGTGGTAGGGTGTTGGTAGAGAAAGTGAGTACGAAATTTGGGTTAATTAGAGATGACAGTGGTATCTCTTCCCAATAATCAACACAAGCAATGTATAATGTATTCAACCTCACTTCTGCACCCTGAAATCGTTCCTTCAATTTGATGCCTAATTCTTGTCTGTCAGATTATCCGCATGCTAGTATTCGTTTCCTTATCTTAAGTTTGTCTCCTGCTGTTTTTAAAAAGTTTCTACTGGTTTCTGTTTATTAAGAAACTCGAAAAAAAGTTGAGTTTCTCTCTGATTTTTTTTTTTTTTTTCTGATAAACAAACTGAAGTTTCGCAGGAAGGACTATCATCTCACCACACCACATTTGACGAAAGTAAGTTGTAAGCGAGTCCGGATCTCCTACCCATGTTTATCGCAGTCATACATGGAGAACATCTCATCTTCTGCATAGTATTATTTAAGGGGAGATGTTTCTAATTCACGGGGGGTAGTGTGTTGTGGGTAGACATGGGCAGGGTTCTCATAGATAGGAGATCCGAACTCATAAGCACGTTCAATGAGCATTTGAAAATTTTTTTGACACCTGTCCTTTAAAATTCTCTTACCCCTCAAAAAATTAAAGCCCACTTTTGACAGTTGACAAAATATTTATCAAGTGCTCATTTAATTTGCGGTTAACTTTGGCTGTTGACCCCCAACAGCAAGGTTTTTTTTAACTTTGATTGTTGGGGCCCAACATCATTGGCTGTTAATACAGTTTCTGGGCTGGGCACGTTGGCAGTTCACCTATTCATGCCCATGCTTTGGTTTTTAGTTAAAATAAATTAAGATGTAATTACTAATTTACCCATTCTTAAGATAATGTGGCATTTACAGAAATTCTCTCAACAGCATAGGCTGTCGACCCCCAACAGCTAAAGTTTTTCTTTTAATTTGTTTACTTATGTTGTGCCTAGTAGAACCAGTCCCGTCTATGTTTTGTTTGAGACTAGATTATGTCCCCACAGAATTGGTCTTTACACCCATTCTTACAACAATTGCAACTGTGCATTGGGAATTTTTTGATTCTTATATTTTCATTCAGAAGATATTTTCAATGCATGGCTACTAAGTGTTATAAGGGCAGTCAAATATTTTCATCAAAATTCATGGGAGTTGTGATTGATCAAAGGCTTCCAGTGGTTTGACAAATGATGCCAAAAAGATATAATACTATGAATATGATACGAGAAAAACTTGCAACCAATCAACTGGATCATAAAGATGGTAAACAATGAGATGGGTTTTCATCAAAATTCACAGAGGATTAGGATTAGTCAAATCCTTTCAGGTATTATGTCTTTCAAGAATTATTGATTTTCCTTTTTTTTCGTACGTATTTTATGTAGTTCACTCCCACTTTATTTTTGTTTTTTTTTTGTGAAGATTTACTTTTTCTCCTTTGAGGAGGAGGAAGTAGGTCTCATAGTGAATCAAATCAAACAAAGAATCCATGGTGAATGTTAATAAAAAGGCCTTTTTACTATCCACTCCACCTCAGAATTGAAAAGTTATTTTCCCAAATGTAATTATTCCCAGATTCTCCTATAAATAGCATTCCCGTGAATTGGGAATCTTCCCCCTTGACACTGATCGAAATTGTACAATCGAATTATGAATTTCGAGGCGGAGTGGATAGTAAAATCCCTTAATTAAAATAGAGAAACATGACCTTCGTGGAAGGAGTGAAAGTGTTGACGTGGTGGATTTGGACTGTTAACGCCTACTCAGCACTGACGAATGGCAAATGGAAAATGTCAAATATTTCACTCAGGAGAAACTCTAGCCATTTGAATTTTTCTTTTGGGTTGAACTTGCAGCCATCCGAGTTTGGTCAGATCCATATTTGGATTCCTTGACTATTATGCTTTCTTTGGATGACACGTTAGTCAAACATCGGTCAAATGAAAATGGGCTGACCGAGGTTGTGATAGTCTCACGGATTTCTCTATTGAGATCGGATTTCATCTTTCACAAAATCTCCAATGAGTGTCTGGAATCAGATCTGAATTGGCTGGGAAGGTTCGCAACTAATACTACCAATGTGTCACTTGTCTTTGGCATTGGCTATGCACTGTAGTCATGCAATAAGCATCTTCACTCAAACATGGTTCGAAATCTAGGGATTACAATGGGATGGGTTTGGAGAGAGTTTTCTAAATTCTAGATTTTACCCATTATCCTAAATCTTTCAATATGTATACATCCTAAAACCCATAGCAGGTTGGATTTTGAGAATTAAACTCTTCTTTGAACATAAAAAATGTAAAATCCTCTTTGACCTTATCCTTTTATATTTAGTTTCCTATTTTTTTTGTTATATATAAGCAATAAATGAGTAAAATAATATGAATAAACAGCAAAATTTCTAATTATTCGATTAAGGCATATATAAAATACAAAAACTATCAATTATCCTTTACATAAAATACAAAATATTATTACATTCAACACATATAAGTTCATATGCTTTCCAACAATATCATACGCTTAATGGGGGTCAAAACCTTCCAATATTATACCTTTCCAGTATCATAAATTTGCCCGTACTATAAGACATGCTTCTCTATCTGCTTTTTCCAGTTCCTGATAAGGAAACTTTCTATTGCCAGATACCAAATATTTTATGCTCTAGATGAGTGCCCCCCAATGTTTGAAGATTTGGAATCCAGCACTCAAGTTAACTTGGGCTGTTGGGGGCCAACAGCCTATCTTGTCAAGAGTGTTTTAAGGCTAGACACGTTCACCAATTCACACTGCCATGTAGGGGTGGCAACGAGCCAAGCTTTTCACAAGCTGCTCGAGCTCGATTCGGCTCGGTTTCAACCGAGCTCAAGCCTAATATATATAATAAAAATATTATAATATATATTATTATTTATATATATATATAGAAAATAATATATATAATAAAAATATTATAATTCTTAATTTTTTAAATATTAAATAAAAAATATTTTTTATTTTTATAAAATATTTTTCCTCAAATCTAGCTCAAACTTATGAGTTTTTTACTGGAGCCAAGCTCGAGCTCAATATTCTAGCTTGAACCAAGCTCAAACCTTATACAACCTTGGCGAGCCGAGCTCGAGCCTCATATTATTCGGTTCGACTCAGCTCGAATCCACCTCTAGCACCATGTCTATATTTATGGTTAAAAAGAAATATGGGCAATTACTATTTTAACCCTCTATGATAATGCGGCATTCGCACAAATGTTCTCAACAGCATAGGCTGTTGGCTCAACAGCCAAAGTTGTTTTCACTTTAAATGGCCTCACTGAAACAATAGCTATGTCAAAGATCAGTTTAATTTACAATTACATAATTGTTTCTTATCGCCAAGAGACTCTTCCTCTGTTATGTTAAAGTTCATTAATTATTGAAAATTAAATTAAATTGATAAATACCAATTAATTGATTACCACTTTTATGATATCTTATAAATTTTTAGAGATCATATATTTTCAATATCATAATCGAATAACATTTTTTAGCCCATATGCACAGTCCTTTGATCAATGTTATAAAAAGTTGTAGAATTTGACCGACTCTATGATTGCATTTGGCATTCCTTATTTTAAAAACTTATCACCGCTTTACCGTTAAAATGTTTATATGAATACTGAGTTTTAAATACGAAAAGGATAAAAATCCTTAAAATAAAAAATGTCAAATGCAGTCTATATAATATTCGTGAATTATATATAATGCTCTCACTTTCTTTACTTTCTTTACTTGCTTGTATGGTCCACAAAGCTCCAAGACAAGAGCTGATGATGACGCTGAATTATACAAAGAACAAATTAAACATCAATATAGAGCTAAAAGGCGGTGGCCTTATACAAATGAACTTAAAGGGAAGTCTATCTTTTTGGGATATATATCCAAATGGAGGAGTGATTGAAAAATCAACACATATAGACTAAATTTTGAGGCTACAGAAGCGGGATTTTCATTTTGGAGGGACTCCCCCCAATTGCTTCTTTATTGGTTTAACGCCTTGCCGACTGTACTTGCCTCTTGTTGGGATCACTCTCATTGCATGTGGTCTGCCGTTGCTTGCGTGTTGCTATTACATTTGAAAGGCACACGATGAGTTGGACAAGTCGTATAAGCCTATAAGGAGTCTCTTTTTATTCTATATAGGCCCTCTTTGTTAGGTGTTAGAACTTTAGTGTGAGAGAATTTTTACTTAGGAATAGCAATTTTTTCCATTCCGTTTGGTACCTAATTTCCTCGATTTAATAGGATTGGAGATGGAGATTATTTTAATGGGATAGAGATAAGGATGGAGATTAATAGGAATTCCCAATCAAGATTTAGGTCAGAGAGGAATATATATGTATATATAATTTTCTTTTATTTAAAAAATAATTATTAAATAAATTTTTTTAAAAATTCGGACTATCACAAAAAATCCCCACCCCAAACCTGCTCCGTTGCCATTCACCCTCCAGTCTGACTAAATTCTAATCCAATAATAACTAACGCTATTTATACTTTGTCTTGAGCAGTACTCTATGGCAACTAACTAAACACTAATAAACAGAAAGGATTAACTGAATTTTATAGCTGTTTTTTTTAATAT